TTGGTGTTGTTGCTCGGTGTTGAAGATGGCGGTAACTGATGACGACCAAATCCGGGACGTGGGGGTGAAGTTGAGAAAGGTCTTGGGTGAAGAAGTGGGCTGTTGGAGCTGGTGTTGGTGGAGACTCGCTGAAGTGATCCTCGTGCTATGAGCTGGCTTGACGTTGGAAGTTGAAGTGATGAACGTGTGGTATGAGAACGAGGTGTTGCGGTGACGGTTGACTTGTTGCTAGGAAGAGTCGTAGATGGTGTTGATGTAGGTACTTGGGAACTTGTAGCTGTTGGTTGCTGCTGCATGGGATGACGATGAGCTTCTGTAATTGCCTCTGGAGTGACGGCTGATGATGGGTTTGGTGGCGTAGTGGTGGGCTGATCCGGTTGGCGTTGAACTTGTGAGGTTGGTGTTGAAGTAGCTGGCTGGTTTGTGAATGTTGGCTGCTGCTCCTTTGGCGGTGATGGAACGGTGACTTCCTGAGGTGGATGGTCTTCATTTGATAGCTGAACTTCATCTCCACTTGGTTGTGTAGCTGCTGGTGGCGCTGGTGTGGCACGGCTGGTCTCGTTGCCGACGGCTTGAGGGAGATCGATGATCGGTCCGCTATGGTCAGAAACGTTGTCATCTTCCTCCTCTTGTGTTGTTTCCTCAGGTGCTCTTGCTGGTTCCTGTTGGATAGAGGGTGGTAGAGAGGAGGAAGAGGAATACTTGTGCCAATCTGCAAGGGACATGTCTTCATAGAAGACAACATCCCTTGAAACCACTTCTCGCTTGGTGACGGGATCCCAAAGGACCCATCCCTTGCTCTCATTGCTCATGCCGATGAAGAGGCCCCAATGAGCTTTGCTGTCCAGCTTGAGTCGTTTTGCATCTGGGACACGGTATTGGGCCATGGAACCAAAAACACGGAGCATAGACAGATCTGGTTTAACTCCAAACCAAGCCTCATATGGCGTTACACCATCCGGTAGAGGCCTTGTTGGCCTTCTGTTGCGAACATAGATTGCCATAGTGATTGCCTCACCCCACCAGAGCTTGTCAAGGCCCTTAAACTGAAGAAAAGTGGTAGCTATAGCTTGAATAGTGCGATGAAACCTCTCTGCCACTCCGTTTTGCTGAGGACTATAGGGACAAGTGAATTGTTGCTTGATGCCCAATGACAACAACTCCCCCTGGAACGCTTTTCCCATGTACTCACCTCCTCGGTCCGACCTCAAGGTGAGTAACTTCTTCCCTGACTCTCTCTCAACAAGTGCTAGCCATTGCTTGAAGCACTTATGAACTTCATCCTTGGTGTTGATGAAAAAGGACCATGAGAAACGACTCTTGTCATCAATGAAAGACACCAAATATCTCTTACCGTTTCGAGTAGGGTCTCGCATGGGGCCGAACACATCAGTGTGGACCAACTCTAGGAGGTCCCTTGACTGAGACTTAGAAGGGAAAAATGGCTTTCTAGCTAGCTTACCTTCAACACAAGATGGGCATGGGACGGTAGAAAGAGACTTGACTGCACTTTCACTCAAAGTAAGTCCTTCCACGCTCTTGTGACTTACTAACTCTTTGAATGCTTGCATCCCCAAGTGCCCCAAGCGTGCATGCCATACCTCGGCTTGGGAGATACTCCCTTTGTTGTTGACTTGATCGGTTGAAACAGCGGGAAGCGAGACAACGTCGTTCTTCGTGTTGCTAGAACCGCGCTTGATCTCCAACTTCATCTTGTAGAGACGCCCGGTACGCTCGCCTTCAGCCACCAAATTTCCTGCACTATCCCACACTTTGGCTTTCCCCCCTTGCAAAAGAACAGAGGCACCTTTCTCTTCAAGTTGTCCAGCTGAGAGCAAGTTTGCTCCCAAATCAGGGACAAACAAAGCTTTATTGACACAAAATGACTTACCATCTTTCTCAAACTCAAGCTTGCCGACTCCTTTGATAGGGACTTTGCCAAGATCGGCAAGAGTCACCGCTTTTGAGTCATATGAGGGCTGAAAATCCTTGAGAATGGAATGATAGGGAGTCATGGTCTCAGAACAGCCACTATCAAGAATAAACTCCTCACTACTAGTAGAAAAAACATGCATGCAAGTAGCAGCGTTGAAAAGGACAGGACCGTCAGAATCTTTGGACTCATTTTGACTCGTAGCATGGCTTGCTATATTTGCTATGACTGCTTTACCCTTTTCAGAAAGTAGCTGAGGTGGAGGGACCCAATTAGGAGGCTTCTTAGGACAAGCATACCACGGATGACCCCACTCATGACAACAAAAGCACTCAAAATTAAACTTTTTAGCATTTGACCCTTGACTGAAATTATTGACTCTTAAAGGATTTGCTCTCACATTCCTAGACTGAAATTGATTGGGAATGGAAGACCTTGGCTGAAGATTAGGACTTGGCTTAAGGGGATGACTTGACTGAGGAATACGAGAGGGGTTGTAGGGATTGGAAGGTGACTGAAATTTCGTACCGTAGTAAGGTTGAGGGCGGTTTGAGCTGAAGTTTCCTTGCCTCTGGAATTGGTTGCCATATCGTGTTGCCGCTGCAGCACTCCACGCACCTTCGTCACTCCGCTTGTTCCGTGCAAGGTCTCGACTCTGCTGCTCGTTGACAAGGGCTTCGAAGATGAATGCACGAGTCTTCATTGACTGCGGGAGCGCTTGTAGTGTTGCACGGAAAGTGTCCCACTCCGGTGTAAGGCCAGTGAGGATGACGGTCTTGAAAAGAGACTCTGGGATCTCCAAGCCGATCGCTGCTGCTTCCTCCAGCATCGTTTCAGCTCGTTGAAGGTATGCTTGTGCTGATTCATCTTCTTCCATCTTCAAATTCATGAAGCGGCTCCACATCTCAGCTTGGCTGCTCTCGGATTTTGACTGGTGCATAGACTTCAGTCGGCTCCATGCTTCCTCCGCACTGTTTGCCTTGGTAGAACAGGGTAGGAGTGACTTCAACTGCTGCTCGTGAATGCTATTGAGTAGGTAGAGGAAGGCTTCCTTGTTGCGCCGCTCGTATTGACGTTTTTCAGCTTCTGAAGCATCTGCTGCTGGTTTGGCTGCTTCTCCAGTATAGTAAGGCCACAAATCCAGAAGGGATGTAATGAGCTCAAACTGAGTTGCCCATGTTGGAAAATCTTTGCCGTTGAACTTGGGAAGGTGAAGCTTAGGCATGAAGGAGGTGAGTGGTGAGTATGTTGTTGAAGAACTGCCTGGTGCAACTGCTTCCACTAATCCAGTAGCTGCTGATGTTGACTCTGAAGCTCCTCCGGCTGGCTGGAGTGCAGGTCCAGAAGGATTGTCTCCCGCCATGTCCGTTTAGTTCTAGGATAGGAACGTGGTGGGCTAGGTTGATCGAAACGACGAGCTCTGATACCAACTTGTAAAACAGAGTAGCTGTGACTGCTGGAAAGGTTGGAAACTTGGCTGGAAAGTCTTAGCAGGGCTGCTGGACTGACTGGATGAGGTAAAACTTCACTATGATCAAGGTTGTACAAGCCCACTAAAGCACACCTTCTTAAACATCACAAACAAGGCAGTTAGGTAGCTCAAACTAGGTTGCTAGACAAGGCAACTTCCTTGGGAACTTGGTCACAATCCAGCTTCCATGAACCTTGAGTGACTTGAGAGCCACATGAGGTGCATGAATAAGAAATCTCTGGATTTTTCTGTTATAGCTGATTCTGATGTGTAGAAACCTGTAGAAACTCCCAACACTTCGGTTTGGAGGCAGCTCTGAACTGTATCGAGTCTTCGGCTGAAATCTGATTGGTTGGGAAACTTTCCGATATTTCGCGAAGCCTTCAATCCATCGCCGACATTCCCCCCTTGCTGCTCCTTGTGTGCAAAGGGCTGGGGCGGCAGAATCTCGATTCTCCAACAGACGGCACCTACTCCGCCCTTACTCACCCCCCATCGGGTACCAGCAGCATGGGCCCTTGTTTGACCCGTTCATCCGTGCATGCTTACACCTCTTCGTCTCCCTTGCACCCTTGCTTGCAGGTTGCACTCTCCACCCACCAGGACATCTATTCCGCCCTTACCACCATTCACCCATCGGCTATGAGCAAGCAAGGGTCCTTCTTTCACACATGCATGCGCGTGCCTCTCTGTCTCCCTGTGACCTGCCCTTGCGTTGTGCCCTTGCACTCTCCACCCACCAGGACATCAATTCCGCCCTCTCCAGCAATTCACCCATCGGCTACCAGCAAGGCTCCTTCGTGCACTCGTACCTCCTGCAGCTGGGCGTTGCTCCAGTGAGTGCCTCGTCCAGATCTCTATGATTGTTGAAGGCATGTCAACACTGGGCTTAAAGCGGTGGCCCCATTGGTTGCTAGCAAGCACAGCTCCTTCGTACACTTGCTGAGGCACCTGGGCCTTGCTACAGCGCAAACCCACCATGCCTGCTTGCGCTGTGCTTCACACCTGCTGCCGTACCACGTGGGTTCTAGACGACTATCTGGGTCTGCATTTAACCCGTGAGGTGAGGGTATTTTAAAAAATACTGAAGAATACCCAGCAGCAGTCTTCATTTAACCCGTGAGGTGAGGTAGCACCACAACAACCACTCCTGCTGCACTCACTTTCTACGCTGCGCCTCTGCCTCGTGCTACTCCTCTTCCCCCCGCCTGCCTCACTCTCTCCCCTGCCTCACCTTCCCCCCTGCCTTCCCCCCTGCCTCGCCCTCACCCCTGCCTCACCGCTCTCTCCCCTGGCAGGACAAGCCGGTGTCTCTGGTGGGGGAAAGCGAGTGTGCATCATCACTGGCGTCAGGAAAGGTGACACTGATCTTGGACCAGGACCTCCACCTCTTCTCCACTGCCCATCTCCCTTACCCCCTCCCTTCTCTCCGTCCCTCCACACAGCCTCCAAACCCCACCGTCAGGACATGTTGGCGTCCCTCACGGGAGGGAGCAAGTTTGCATCGTCGCTGGCATGGCATCGGGCGGATCACAGTGATAGTGGATGACGACCCCTACCTTCTGCAAACCCCTCTCCCTTGACGCGCACCCGCGTATGCAATCCCATCAGGGCAAGCTGGTATCGCTGGCAGGGGAGAGCGAGTACGCATCGTCGCTGGCGTCGGGGCGGGTGGCGGTGATAGTGGACGAGGACCCCTACCTCGACCTCTTCTCCGCTTCCTTCTGTGACGCCATGCAGGCGTCGCAGCCCTTCTCCATCCTCAACCTCGCCTTTGTGGGTGCACTGTGCACGCATGTGGGTGCAGCGTGCGCGCGTGTGGGTGCAGTGTGGCCGCATGTGCACATGATGTGTTTTCATGCTGTGTGCTGATGCTGTGCTCACCATGTGCGCCATGCCATGTGTGCCGTGCCATATGCGTGCGCCGTGCCATATGCGCGCGCTGTGCCATGTGTGCATTCTGGGAGTTGGTAATTGGGTTGGTTGGTTGGTTGGTTGTGAGGATGGGGATGTATGTGCACATGCAAGTGCATATCCATTTGCATGCTCGCTGGTAAGCTTACCCGTGTCTTGAGTATGGCGCCCCATTCCTTCTTCGTCCCTCACCTTGCTAGTACGAGTTGCATATCAAGCCTCCTCCTCTCCCTTTCCTCCCTCCTCTCCCTCTCCTCCCTCTTCTCCCGCCCCCCCTCCCCTCCCTCCCCTCCCTCCCCTCCCTTCCCTCCCTCCCCTTTCTTCCCTCCTCACCCTCCCTGTCCTCTCACCACCAATGCCCCGCACGCATTCCCCCAAGGGGTCACAGGTGGGTGCGGAGGGCATGTCACAAGTGGGTGCGGCGGGCATGTCACAAGTGGTTGCGGCGGGCATGTCACAAGTGGGTGCGGCGGGCATGTCACGACCCTGAATTCTCTTTGCTCCTCTCTCCCTCTCCTCTCACCACCATCGTCACCCCACCCCTCAGGCGTTCCCATTCGCATCTTAAATCCCATTTATCCTTTCTCCATCTCCCCTCACCACTGTCACCCAGGGGTGACAGGTGGGGGCGGACATATCTCAAGCCACGTCGACCTTCATGTGCTTCCGCACGTCTCAAACTCCCCTCCTCTCCTCTCACCACCATTGCCCCCAGGCCTTCCCCAAGGGGTCACAGGTGGGGGTGGATATCTCTCAAGCCATCCTGGAGCTGCAGAGGAAGGGGGAGTTGGAGCGACTCAAGGAGCAGTACTTGCAGGTGGGTGCAAAACAAGAGCATCACGATTGCTTAACTCGGTACTTGCAGGTGGGTGCAAAACAAGAGCATCACGGTTGCTTAACTCGGTACTTGCAGGTGGGTGCAAAACAAGAGCATCACGATTGCTTAACTCGGTACTTGCAGGTGGGTGCAAAACAAGAGCATCACGATTGCTTAACTCGGTACTTGCAGGTGGGTGCAAAACAAGAGCATCACGATTGCTTAACTCGGTACTTGCAGGTGGGTGCAAAACAAGAGCATCACGATTGCTTAACTCGGTACTTGCACGTGCGTACTAAGAGATGGAAATTCGTAGCCTCTTCCCTCTTCCCTCTCCATGAACGTGCTCATGGTGGTGAACGTGCTCATGGTGGTGAACGTGCTCATGGTGGTGAACGTGCTCATGGTGGTGAACGTGCTCATGGTGGTGAACGTGCTCATGGTGGTGAACGTGCTCATGGTGGTGAACGTGCTCATGGTGGTGAACGTGCTCACCTCCCTCTTCTCTATTCTCTCTTATCTTGTCCCTCTTCTCTCTTCTCTTGTCCCTCTTCTCTCTTCTCTCATCCCTCTTCTCTCTTCTCTCGTCCCTCTTCTCTCTTAACTCGTCCCTCTCCTCTCTTCTGTCCTCTCTACTCTCTTCTCTCTCGTCTCTCTTCCCACTGCCCTCTCCACCGACCCCATCTTCCCTCGTCAGAAGGACAGCATGTGTGTCGACCACCAGGCGCCTCAGCAGTGTTGACGCAGGTGAACGTGCAGAAGCTCATTCCTCGCCTCTCTCTCTCTGCCCAACACCTCCCCCGCCTCTCACCACCACCTCTTCAGAAGGACAGCACGCGTGTCAACGGCCAGGCGGCATCGGCAGGGTTGACGGAGGTGAACATGCACAAGTTCATGGCGCTGCTCCTCCTCTACCTCGTACTCTTGCTGCTCTGCTGCATCGCCTATGTGGCCTTGCTCATCTATCGTGGACACCTCTACCACCGGTACGACCCTGCTATTGTCACAACTGCTACCATCTGATTAGTGTTACCACAGGCATGAACTGGTTACCTGTAACCAGTGCGTTCCGGTTATTGTTACAACTGCGACGATCTGGTCACCGTGCCACCAGTAAGATCTGGTTGCCGTTACAACGGGTACGAAATGGTTATTGCTAACGCTTGCCTCACTTTGGACCCCCCTCTCTACCCCCTCTACCCTCTGGCTTCCCCTCTACCCTCTGGCTTCCCCTCTACCCTCTGGCTTCCCCTCTACCCTCTGGCTTCCCCTCTACCCTCTGGCTTTCCCCCTGCCCTCTGGCTTTCCCCCTGCCCTCTGGCTTTCCCCCTGCCCTCTGGTTTTCCCCCTGCCCTCTGGTTTTCCCCCTGCCCTCTGGCTTTCCCCCTGCCCTCTGGCTTCCCCCCTGCCCTTGCTTGCATGGCATGGCATGGCGTGGCGTGGCATGGCATGGCATGGTATGGCATGGCATGGCATGGCATGGCGTGGCGTGGCATGGCATGGCGTGGCGTGGCATGGCATGGCATGGCGTGGCGTGGCATGGCCTGGCATGGGGCACCGCTGCAGGGAAGCACGTGAGGAGGTGGAGGAGCAGCAGGAGGAGCAGCAGTGTTGGGAGAAGGCCGAGCAGTGCCATGAGCTAAGCAATGACGACCTGGCTGGGTGTTTCACCCAGGCCAACCAACAACTGCTTGTTCCGCCTGGGGACTTTGGTTCCTATTACCACAGAGCCAGTGATATCAGGAATAATGACAGCGATGTTGACGATAAGGGTGGTACTGATGGTGACGGGTGTGCTGCAGACGGTAGGCCAAATGTGGGGGGCAAGGGTGGAGGAGGCTCCATTCTTGAGGCACCTCGAAATGGGAGCGAGGGTGGAGACTCCTTGGTGAGCTATCTCAGTGCTGGTTCCGTCGCGAATCTCTTCTCACGTGCACCCGCCGATTCGACCAGCTTCTATGGCAGCAGTAGCAGCAGCAGCAGCAGCAGCAGCAGCAGCAGCAGCAGCAGCAGCAGCAGCAGCAGCAGCAGCAGCAGCAGCAGCAGCAGCAGCACCACCACCACCACCACCACCACCACCACCACCACCACCACCACCACCACCACCACCACCACCACCACCACCACCACCACCACCACCACCACCACCACCACCACCACCACCACCACCACCACCACCACCACCACCACCACCACCACCACCACCAGCACCACCACCAGCAGCACCAGCACGACTTTGTGTGTGGGGTTGTCAAGGCAAGGCAGCAAGCGGCAGGAAGTGCTTGAGGCGCTTTGGGAGGAAGGCAGTGAGGAGGGGAGAGTAGGGGATGAGGCGGAGGAGGAGGAAGGGAATGGTGAGACGGGTGGTGATGGGGATAAGGATGGGCAACCTGCTGCTGCGACTATAGCTGCAAGAGATGCTGTTCTTGATGCGGACTCTGGTGCTGCTGCTTCTAGTTCTGATGCTGCTGCAGCTTTGGTTGATGCTGCTGTTGCTGCTTTAGGCGACGTAGTAGCATGTGGGTCAGAGGTAGCATGTGGGTCAGAGGCAGCATGTGGGTCAGAGGCAGCATGTGGGTCAGAGGCAGCATGTGGGTCAGAGGCAGCATGTGGGTCAGAGGCAGCATGTGGGTCAGTGGCAGCATGTGGGTCAGTGGCAGCATGTGGGTCAGTGGCAGCATGTGGGTCAGTGGCAGAAGACACAGCACCATCAGGGCTGCGTGTAGCTGTGTCTACACGCAGTGCTGGAGAAACAGCAGCAGAAAGAGAAGCAGCAGGAGAAGGAGAAGCAAACATAGGAGCAGAAGCAGAGGCAGAAGCAGAAGTAGAGAAATCGGAATCAGCCATTACTGCCACCACTGCCGCTGCTGCTACTGCAGTTGCTGCCACTGCTACCGCCTCTTCTGCTGTTACTGCTGCTACCACTGCCCCTGCTGCTGCTGCAGCTGTAAATATGACAGCAGCAGCAAGAAGTTTCTTCCCTGCCACAGCACTTGCAGCTGATCATGGTTCAATTCCAGGTTTACCCTCAGTAAATCTAGGGTCAACCGATATCCTATCGTCCATGGGTGCATCATTCGACATAGCATCCAATTTACTCCCTACAGTATCCAATTCCGCTAACAAGACAAGTGATTCGCCACGTACTGATGCTTTACCTGTGGCACCAGTAGTGGGTGGTGTGCCGAGTGTGGGGAGCGTGACCAGTGGGCTTCGTGGCTTGGTGTCCGTACAGACGATGATACAGTCATCGCAGGAGAGTGTGGTTTCTGTGCGGAGGACAATGGACGATTTGGCGGATAAATTCAACAAGGTGAGAAGAAATGTGGGTAGTTTTAGCAAGGTGAGCAGAAAGGTGGATAGGTTTAGCAGGGTGAGCTTTTATTGGTGTCATCTTGAAGAGCTGCCAAAGGCTTCCATTCATAGGTCAACCGACGTTCTGATATATAAATTCGACAAGGTGGGGCTTGAAACCAGGGCGTGGACTTTTGTGGGTGTGATGTGGGTGTGGGATGCATGACCAGTAGTGGGCTTTATAGCTTGGTGTCTGTTCAGAGAATGGTCGAATTTTCTGAGGGTGCGGTGAACATGCCGGAGAATTGTCTCAGGAGGGAGCAGTGAGCATGCAGGAGAATTGTCTCAGGAGGGTGCGGGTGTGGTCTTCATGCAGAGTACAATGGGCGACTCGATAAATACTTCTAACAAAGTGAGAAGTCTCAAAACTTCAGCCCCCCTCCCCGCTCTGGCTTGAGTGGGTGCAGGGAAAGGAGTGGAGCCGCGAGCGCTACCTGGATCCCAACAACATCCAGAGGCACCAAGCCTACTCCGCCACTTCCCTCCTCCCAGACTTCTCTTCGCCCGGAAACTGTGCAAGAAAACGCAGCTGTCCATCAGCGCGTGGCTCTGATGCCGTTGCTTCAACCTCTGCTGCTTCAGCCACCTCGGTTTCTGTCTCTCTCTCTATGCAGCTGCGTCTCCCTCTGCCTCTGCTGCTGCCTCGCCACCCCGGCGGCACCAGCGCCGTTCAACCTGGGGATCTCTGCAGGGCTCGCCTGCTGTTGCTTCTCTGCGCCCTGCCGCTGCCTCTGGTTCCTTCTTCCGTGCTGCTGGTGCCGGCGGTGCTTCCAGTGCTGGGAGTGCATGCGATGCAGATGCTGCTATTTTCAATCAACCCAACCAACCTGACTCCACTTCAGGTCTTTCTCTCACAGCTGACCCCCCTCCTGCACACCCTTGCGCTGCTTCGGGCATCCTCTTCCCTGCTCCCACTGCTGCTCACTCTCCTCTTGCTGCTGTTACCAGCGCCGCTGCTGCCCCCAGTGCACCTTATTTCCACCACTCGGCTGATTCCGGCAGCAAGTTTTCTGCTGGGAGTTTTGGTGGTTCTGACGCTGCATGTCATGCATACAATTTCAAACAAGTAAGGCAGACAAGCAGCATCTTGCCTTCTTCTTCCTCGCTACCTTCCGAACCTTGCCCACCAGAAGCTGAACCTGATGCATTGCAAGCAGCAGCGCAGCTTGTGGAACCAAAGAGGAGAAGCATCACCGTTGGTATGGAGCAGCAATCAGACTCTCCGACTCACTCACCCCTCCCACTCTCGCGATCCCCTCCTGAGGACCAGCCGCAGCAGCCACAACAACAGCAGCCACAGCAGCCACAGCACCTGCTGCTGCTGCAGCAGCTGCCGCCAAAGGCATCATATGGACGGCTCAATTCTCCTGTCAGAAATTCTCAGGCAATGTCAAGCCAGGCCAGCCAGGAGCAGCAGCAGCAGCAGAGGAACCAGGCTGGCAGGCTGTGTAAGGCTGCTGGAGTCCATCGCCGCAGTGCATCGTACGATGTCACACATAAGCCAGGAACGAGGTGAGTCTGTGGGATCGCTCCTCACCTAAATTCGTCTGCTAGTGCCAGTTCTCCAACCTTCATATGTTGCCTTTTTATGAGGTTCATTTTCTCTAGCAGTGTTGTGTCTTTTTGTTTGCAGCATCAAGGGGGAAGTGGGGAAGAAATTAGAAAACATTGACAAGGTTCTGTCACCAGGATCCACATTTGATGCGGATGCAAACATTGAGCCCGAGTTCGGAGGAATTCAACGAGTTCGTGCCTTTCGTCTCCCGCCGTCACTGTCAGAATGTTGTATTTGTCTAGCCTGCAGTGGGGTACTCTATAGCGAGTACAGCCCAATCTAGGGTTTGCTATTTGTATCTCAACTGCTGCTAGTCCAAACCCTCTTTCTGTTTCTAAACTTTGCCTACTACTTCTGACATGCTATCAGAGCAGGTCGACCCCCTTGGGTCGATCCTGTGGGTGGGCCCACCACCTAATGCTTCCGCTGCTGTTCTACTTGTCGCGCGCCTCGGTCGCGCGACGCCTCCTTCCTGCCGTGGTCGCGGAGCGCGCGGCGAAAAAATTTTAAGGTTTTCATCCCGCCGTACGCTCGGGGCGTGCGGCGGTTTTCTGCCTGCCGTGCGCCCCGAGGCGCGCGGCGGTTTCCCACCGTCGAAGTGCCCCCCGTCGCCCGTCGAAGCGCCCCCCCCCCCCCCCCCGTCGCCCGTCGAAGCGCCCCCGTCGCCCGTCGGAGCGCCCCCCGTCGCCCGTCGAAACGTCCCCGTCGCCCGTCGAAGCGCCCCTGGGACCCGCGCGCGGCCCGTACGGGCTGCGCCAGGCCCGCGCGCGGCCCGGGCAGCCCGCGCGCGCCTCGTCCCGCCTGCGGCAGACCCGTGCGCGCGCCTCGTCCGTCCCCCAAGCTTCTGTCGGCGCCCCACCCCCGCTACTGCCCGCGTTCCTGTGTTAGGGTTTGGGGGTGGCGGGTGTGGGGGTGCCGGTTGTGTGCCCCGTCCCCTCCTTCTCCTCCTCCTCCGTCTCCCGCTGCTGCAGCTGCCGCTCAGGGGGGTGGGTGTGTGGGGAGCCGACGGAGTGGTACTAGGGGGGTGAAAGGGGAGTGGAGCTAGGGGCGAAGCAGGGGGTGTGTGTCGAGGGGTGTGGGACTGTTGGGGGAGGTTGAGCGGAGGCCGCCGTCGTGTCGTCTGCAGCGCCTGTATTCCGGGGTTCTGATAGCCACCGGTAGCTCAGAGAGCCGGTTGCACCTGTCGCCCGTGGGTCCGTTGCTCCTGTCGCTGCTGATCAGACGCAGAGCCTGTTACTCCTGTATTCCGGGGCCCTTGCTCCCGGTAGCCACTAGAGCTGCACCAGAGCCGTCTGTTGCCCGTGTGTCTGCAGCTTCAGTCGTCGCCTCCACTCTTCTCTCCTCTCGCCAGCCCTCCTCCTCCTCACTTGCCCTCTGTGACTGCCTCTAGCTTTGCTCATAAAATGTGAACTACTATTATGACTGCTTGTTGTGCTGATTACACCCCACTTTGGCTATGGGGGTGTGTCAGAATGTATTTGCTGTCTAGCCTGCAGTGGGGTACTCTATAGCGAGTACAGCCCAATCTAAGGTTTGCTATTTGTATCTCAACTGCTGCTAGTCCAAACCCTCTTTCTGTTTCTAAACTTTGCCTACTACTTCTGACAGTCACCTCGGCCAAATCCCTAAGTTTCTATTGTAGTCTTAGGGTACATTCCTGTGTCGACATTTATGTCTCAAATCCTTGTTTCCCCGAGTCGCGTCGAAACATTTTGGGGATCTCGCGTCACAAAAAATCAATGTATAGCGAAACTAGGCGACCATGCAAAATGCACAATTGGGTGCAATTAATTGGGTGGAAAAAATTACTGTACACCCGATTCTTCAATCGCGCGGCTTTGGTGTGGTTTCGACAAGCGGGATTCTTTACCGCGCAAAATTGGCATTTCGGGAAGACCAGGTGCATTGACATTCCGAACCGCATGCGATTTTTTAAAAATGATGAGTCGGTTTTCAATTTGTCAGCGACGTCAACGCGTTTCACGCTAACAAATAAAAAATACAGTAATGGTCGCTAGAAGGCGACTCGCGTTTGAGACATTGTACGTTTTATCATCATACCCCGGATATACCCCCTATGGGGGGCACTAATAGAACATGTTTTTTTTTAGGGGGTGGGCTTATAATATAGTAAATTTATAAGCGCCGGCGTTTATAAAACGACAGATATATATCATATATATTTATATACCAAGCTGCAGATTTCGTGTGTTATGAGTTTTACTAGACAGAGTGCGCGGAAGACTTCTATAAAGAGAATGAATTACAGAATGCTCAAGAATGATAAAGGAGCACGCATTTATAGGGTCGAAATCGTGCTAGGCGAGAACCTCGTGACGTGCGAGGGTTGGATGTGTCGCGATTGGTGCGGGGCGACTCGGCGCTGGTTCGGTACGAAAGTGTAGGCCGAGCCAT